CCGCGCCGAGCCGGGTCGAGCCAAAGCTCAAGAGCGAGTCAAACGAGCAGGCTCATGGGCTGACCCGGCCTTGTGCCCACCCTTACTTTTGGGACTGCAGCTGTATATGCTTGTACCATGCAAATAAGTATGCTATGTTCAAATGCCGGTATTCATCTTCAATTGGGTCACAATTCACTGCTTTTCATCTGTTTATCATATCTATGGAATGTGCATGCCTTAGGATTTCTAGCCATCAGATATCACTATTTTCCTCTTCTACTACTTCTTCTTCTTCTTTTCCCTTTGGTTTATTGGAGAGATTTTAATGACTTGAAAATATAATTGTAGATAACATCAACAGCTGGTGGTGGTACTTTAACATTAGAATTTGGGGTGCTGAGTCGTTTGACTAATAATCCCAGTAAGTATACAACCTTAAACTCTTTGATTAGTACATGTGCAGTTCCTTATATTTTCTATTTTTGGCCAGTTGCTGTGTCGATTATTGTTATTTTAATATAAATTGTATAAAGATGGATAGTATCTAAAACCCCACTATATTCTCAAAAAAATTTAAAAAAAGTATCTAAAAGCACACTCTCCAATGTTGAACAAAAGCATTCTACTTCAATCTGGTAAAGAATGAACTAACAAATTCACTGCTTAGCTTGTGCTGAATTCTTGTATGACATCTGGTAACATCATCATGAATATTTACATATTATACTGTCAGATTATTATTACAGTTTGGTTTGTATATAGTCAAATACTAGTAAATAATGATCCTCTATATTCAAATGCTGATAGATGTTCTGGAGAATCCTATAACACCAGCATATCTGCAAAATTAACTGCCTCGATTTTGATGCATAACAAGAAGAAAAAGTAGAGTGATAAATAGAATCATATGAAAGGATATAAACAAATCACTGAAGCAAATCTCATCCATTACCTGTAGAAATTGGCTGAATAACAAATTGAAACTTCCAACAGTGTGTTTTATATTCAATTCCTCCCCCAAAAAGGTACAGTTAGCTTCAGAAGATGGATAGGCTCTTGTTAACTATGAGGAGCTTTCTGGAAGGATCTGTCTCCATGCATAAGTATTGGAATGTTTTCTTGTAGCATCTCATGTCTCGAAACAGCAATTTTTTTTCGTTATGCTTTTGACTTGCGAAAATCTGAATTAGATGGTTATGTATATAACATATCTAAGTGAAAGATATCAAGGACCATTCTATTCACGTGCGGCCATCCTTTAATTACATTAACTGCATGATCTAATTATATTTTGAATCTGCTATATATTTGAGAAATTGGATCTCAGTTGAGAAGGGTTTTCTTTGCAATTAAATATCTCATGTTGTGGTTGAGATGTAAATTATTCATTAACCATTGTTAAACTTATTGTAGCTATGTCAACAGAGCAACAGTAAAAGTGGTGTTCAGGAAATTCAGTGCGATCAACAAAACCAAAATTTCATCCATTAGATCCTCTAATAGTCTTCTTGAAGGTCGGATGTGTGAAGCCAAATATGGCAATTCCATTTATGATTAATTGTAAGTGACCAGGAATGTAGAAGGAATAAAGGATCATTATTAAAGAGAACTAATTTGTTTTTATCTCTCCAATTTCTTAACCCTTAGACTTTTACTCATGTTCTGCCCCTACTTTTCATAGCTCCTACCCAGTGTTCCTCTGTGTAAGAGGCTTTTTCAGATTGAAGCGTGTGATAGCCCAGACATTTTAGCCTTAAAATTTTAAGCAAGATTATTCATGGAAGTTAAAACATCATGTAAATGATTACAAGGACATGTAAAAGGGAATAACGTTATGGTAGCAATTTTAGGAGTATAGCATAACCAAAAACATGGAAAACATGCGAATGTTAGCAGTAACGGTACCATCAGATCATTATCCTATGACCAAACATGTCCAAGATCGGCTTTCGAAATCTGAAAAGCTGTCCTCTGACAGAGGGTAACAGGTAAAGAATGTGAAAATAGTGGTCAAACATGAGTAACAAGTGGATGGGTGAATGATTAGAAATGAAGAAAAATGAGTGGTTTAGCGACATCTCCTGTTTGTTTCTTGGTAATACATTACTGGATTTTTTTTTGAGGAATTACTGGAATAGTTGGGTCAGGCCTGCGCCTGTATTGATTCTACTTTCTATGTGATTGAACTACTAATTTAGCTGTCTTTAATGAGAAAACATGTTTATTACCTTTGTTTTGCAGTTTTTGAGGAAGTTACAAAAAATGCAGTGCGCGGAATTTGGGCCAGAAGGTCGAATATTAACCTTGTCGGGGCTCACATCAATATTTTTACTGGTGAATGGACACAAAAGGTAGCTCTTGGTTTTTCTTTACGAATAATGTGTAATCTGGGATAGGCAAGGTGATCTTATTTGATCTTTGCATTAAAAAATTAGAAGAGCAATGTACGTTTGTTTTGAGTTATAAGCTCCACCCTTTGATTATCTATAACGGGCTCTTAATTTGGTACACAACTCTTAGAGAGTAGATTTCGAACTGCAGCTGATTGTAATACTTTTGGCCCATCTTTTCCTATTTCAAATGGGTTTCTTTACTTTGAGTCATCCTACGTAGCAAACTGCATAAACTAGAAACATTATGCCTTTTATTCCAATTTTTGGTTGTTGGCTGTGTGTATTACTGTATTTATCTTCGTTTGGGAATAGAACTCCATAGCTGAATCTACGTGAATGGTAACGGAGATGGATGATGATACTGATGATTGAATCTATTGCATCCTTCCAAACTTTGAGATGGATTCTACGCTTGCCTCTGAGCTAGAATTTTGAATCCACCTTTGAAACCTTCACATCGGAAAACCTGGCGATTGGACAGGTATATTTGACATTTTCCCTATTCTCAATCGTGGATAGATACATATTTGTTTCTCTTCCCCTTTCTCTACTTTTCGCCTTCAGGTTCCTTCGTTTGGAGCTTGTCTCTCCAAGTTTTATGTTTCCTGTGGGCTCATTTATCTAGCTTTGGTTTCTCATGAATTTTGGCTTTGTTGCCCAGTAATCAGGCCTTCATCTATATTTGAATACACTTAAATGTCATCAGAAGATCGTTTCACCATTCCATGTAAAACTTTGAACAAAAAGAACATAACTTTCTGAGTTGTTAGCTTAATGTATGATAGAGTCCAACTGTAGTTGCATACTTCCATATCTTGTTTGTTCTAGTCTCGTTACAAGGAGGGCCATTTTCACTTTCATTTTTTTTATTTATGGCAAGAAAACATTTTTCAATATGCTACATATAAGCAAGATCTTACAGCACAGGATATCAAGTCCATCAATATTCTTTGAAGTTTAAATAGTATAATTGAGATAGACGGTGATGTTCAACTTGTTGGTCCTTCAAGTGTTGTGTAGCCTCAGTGTTCAAGTAACAAGCACATTGTTACCTCACATGTTTCATGCTGACCCGTATTTAACCAATATTTAGCTCCAGGGCTCTCTGGACTCTTTTGGCCACCCTGCAAACTGAAATCTGGTGACCAGCATTAACGTTGCATATTAAACATCTTAAGAGGAACAGATATCACATTTATAAGAAGATGTCCATGGAGGCCATATTCCAACTGTGGTAGTGTCCACTCATTTATTTCCCAAAGTCCTATATCCTGGGTCACTCGTAAGCAGTGCTTCAATCCATTTCATGAAACTTGGTTCGTGACTGATGTTGGAAGCCTTACATAATCACACAATGGCTCTGGAGGTGTTGGTAAGAATGACACAAAGTCTTCTATATAAACTTTTAATTGCAACAGATTCCTTAGGTCAATCCATGGGCTGACCTTGGTCCCATGCACTTTATTCTGTTTATTGTGAGTTGGCCCTTCAGGTATTCATATTCATATGTGCATATTTGTTTATGTTTTATTCTTCAATCCAGTTTCTCTTTGAATTAACCAGTTGCACACAATTCAATGGGACTCGAGGTCTTTAATGGACCTGAGCATTTTCAGAGAATAATTCCTTCTGAAAGTCAGGTTATTGACCTCATAAAGATGAAGTATTTTGTCCAGCTAGTCTTGAGATTGATCTTATGATTAACTCACAACTTGCAAAATCTTTAAATTTGTTCTCAAACTGCAGGATTCTTGTGTTAAATTGTAACTTGTGCGTGTTATGTTCTTGCTTCATACTTAATTAATACAAGCCGACAAAGATTAATTATTATGCCAACAAAGATTAAGCGAAAGAAAATAGGATGCTTGCCTTTTCTTTATTTAAACCGGGATTTTGCAATTAGTTATTTAAAAATGGTATGTTGGCATGTTATACATTTCTCACGCACATTCCTTATTGCAGGATGCTGGAATTGGTACTAGCATCGACTCTTTCTATGAGTATCTTCTGAAGGCAAGTTAACATTATCAACACGTTTAAGGAAATTCGTTGGGATATCCTGTTATGCTCTATGGTGATGGTCTTCATGGAAAATTACGGATTTACGTAGAGTCTGGAGCTTAGTCTCACATATGCGTATGCCATGTAGATAGGAAGAAAACATTTAAAAACACTTTCATTGCAGCAGTCAACTATTTTAAAGGACCAGCTTAAGGTAGTTAAGATGTGAGTTGGTGAAAGATTTTATTTGCATCTGTTAGTGCCTCAGCAGAGTCTGGAAACACTATTCACGACACATGCTCCACTCTAGTTATGTTATAAACTGAAACTGTACCTTGGAAGCTGGTATGTGGAGTACTGCAGACATGCACATGCATCAGAATAATAGAGGAAGCTTATCCATTCTCATATTTGAGGTTCAATTTCCTACTATCCATTCTCATATTTGAGGTTCAATTTCCTACATATGAATGCACAAACTTTATGAAACCGACCTTGCACAAGATGAAGATCGTCAGACCATGAAGTTGCATAATTGAGATGATATTTATCATGTTGGTTTATTTGTGAAAAGAAGAGCAGAAGTGAAGATTTAGCTATAACTTCAAAAGTTAATTAGATAAGTGGTCTAGAAATGCATATTTTACTGAAGGATATTGATCAGGAATGATGTAGGACATAAACTTTCATGACACCGATTTCCAAGCTCATAAAGGAACATTGAAGCCGGACTGAACTAAACTTCCGGCATTTATTCCTCCACATATGATTCATATCAAGATTTATCAGATAACCACAAAATTTATCTTATCATCAAGTTCAATAACAATTATCCTCCATAAACAGAGTTGACATTACTCCAACGAAATGAGATAAATAAAAGTTCTCCCAACTAGAACCTAAAGGAGAAAATCTCATTATTACAAAATCACAACAAATTCTTCTAATATCAAATATTTATTCAACCTTTACTTAAAAACCACAATTTACAATTAATCAAAGATCAGCTAGCTTCCTTAATTCTTCCTGAGAAATATGAGGCTCTCTAAATCTAGTAAATCCTGAGTCTTTGAAAAGGTGAATACAATATAGTGAGTTTACTATTCAATAAATGGATAAATTTATACATTAAAATGCTGGTTTGAAAAAAACTAAAATATTTTGACTTCATAAGCAAAATATTAAAACTGTAAAGATCATTCGTAAACCCTTGCATTTAATGCAACAATTTTGAAATACAAGGTCATGCAATGGAACATAAGCAGACCATGTCTCAATGTGATCAACGCTTAATGCCCCAGTTGACACGATATCCCCACTATTATTAACTCCGTGATACCAAGATATTGACACCTGGAATTTATGCTTAGTGCTAAAATAAACCTCATAGAGGCACACTAAGCCCTATTTAGATGACTTTTTTATCTATGACATATAGCAGTAAATTGACTTGTGATGCTTATTTTTTTTAATAAATGAACAAAGTTCATATAACCAAATACTTTATCAACAAAATTTCGAAGGCAAACCAATAGTGAAAATGAAACTACATATGCATCTCAAACTACTACTAAATGAAAAAAAGACATCAACATCGCCAAAGAATTAAAGTATGAACTTGAATTTTGTGTCCAACCACAAAATCACAATCAAATCAACAATTGATGTTTGATCAAGTCATATAAAATGATAAAATCGATCATGTAGCAAAATCCATATATACATAATATCCTTTTAGATAAAAAAACTATACAACGCATAAATAATAAATTCATAACTTACCTTAAATCAACCGACAATCCAAATGAAACTCTCACACGCTTTTGAGGAGCCTCTGGGAATTCGTAAGGAATAAATATAAGCAATTATTAATTGTAATTAATGGATAATTAACATGATATACGACTGATCATACTAGTCATTCGATCAATCTATATCATTTAACATAACCAACTTAGTATACTATGAGTCATCCCACCACTTGGTGTTTTTGTACTTTTTATAAAGAAAAACTAACTAAAAACCCTAGGACCAAGTTGTAGTCATCATCAAAAACTTGGGCGCCTATATTCCTTGCCCATCCGAACACACTAGGTAATTAACATTAGTCATGATGAGTTTATTTAGGTAAGGATCTCTAACCTAAAAAAACAAAACGAATTGAATCATATAATAAACAATTAGACTATCAAAATTCTACCAATCTAAAGAACTTAAAACTCAATGCGTTTATGTCCTATATATGAACTGTTTATGGTAGGATTTAGGATGCGAAATACCTAGTTCTTGATCCAATATTTGCACGTCCGCTCTGTGATCTTTTTTTAAACCCAAATGATGTTTATTGTTGAGAAGAAAAATGCTAGATAAAAGATTAAGAGGCTGCAAGAGAAACTACGTGGGGGTAGGGTTTCTGATTTTATTTGCAGCAAACACCATCAAATAACCTATGTTTCCTCGGTAATTCTATCATGAAGCCATACCCATACCTTACACGTACCTGACACGTCCCTGACACGTCCCTGTACCCAAACTTCATGTACACTCCTTGAATATATGCATACATTTATTCAGACATGTACTCAATTACATGATATATGTTTTAACTTTTTAAACACTTGTCATACATTTCTTAGACACATGTCCTACATTTCACATCCATTTCTTGAAACCTGTTAGACATAGGTCAGGTTTGTTTCAGTATGTACCAAAGTTCAAAACTATGAAAGGGTCATTTGGTTGTCTAGTTCAAGAACAAGTAATTTCTAATTTATAATAATCAACATTCTAAAAGAAACTTGGAAATGTGATAGGAAATTTAATTCTAATAACAAATGAATTGAAAAATAATAATGATCTCTTGTGATTTCTTAATTCCAAAACATACATGTAGCCATGTCTTTGTACCCTGCCTTTTACAATTTTGTTGTGTCCTATATCGGTACACCCGTACTGGTACTAGTATCCGTTTCCATGCAACTTAGCTTACTATTATATATTACTATAATTATTATCACTCTTTATTTAATACCCTCTTATAATCCAAAATTACAATTAAATATAGTTCACTCAATTACTTGATGAAAACTAAAATAATTTGTAATACATAGTCATTACCAATTTAAAAACCAGGGATATTACATAAAACCAATGGCAAGCCATACTTGAGAATGGTGGTATAATATTTGTCGCAAGATTAGTGTCACAATTGAGCGAAATACTTTATTTATAAAAGAAATATGTTCACGGTTCACCTAATGTCACAAAGATAACAAAATGCAAAGTGTTGCAACTTCATTTAGTCTATAAAGCCAGGTAGTAGTTGTCAAATCATTGCAGTTATGGTGCTCATTAAGTTGGTATGTAAAACCTTCCCCTACCGAATCAGAAAAGAATTTTTCTGGATGATGCATAACCCCGGCAGTTGATTTTGTTTGTTTACCTTGACTTATTGACACACATTGATTGCTTTTGGTTTGAATCAAACCTGATAGGTTTAGGGTTGGAAAGGGAGTTAAATTGTTAAAAACCAATATTAAACCTAAACTTCTAGAAATCCATTTGTTTTTAAGAAGGAATTGGCACCTAATAAAATTAGATCATTTAATTTCACAATCATGCTTTCCTACTGGATCTATTTCTCTAAGGCACGTATGAGGATTTGGTGTTGTGACTTTATGAACAAATATGCGAATATGCGATGACATATGTAAGGACAAAAAAAGTTTATGTAAAAGATTATCTTTACTCAGCTGAAACTAATTCATTGTTAAGTCTGCAAAGTTTCAAAACATGGTCAAAACCAAAAAAGTATGAAGATGAATTTCTTTGCTTTTACATTTAGCATTGACTACAGCATGTTAATCAAGTAGAATACGAAAAGAGTGCTATAGTTTTATGAAAATTATTTTTATCTATTTGAGGATGTCATATTTGTTTGAAAATGGCAATAGAATTTTGAAAACTTTAATAGTTTTGAAAACACTGAAGAACTTTACAAAATTTTGAGTTTCTTACATTTTTTGGTCTCTTGTGAGTCCTGTTACAGTTTACAGTAGATAAGTCACAAAAACCGCACATGGGGGCACTTTCCATAAACTAACTATAGTACAAATTTCATCTTCTTAGTTATGATTCAAATTATCAAATTCTTGACTTTGCAATTCCCAATAAATAAGGATGTGATGAGTTACATTAAGTTACATGTGCAAAAATTAAGTCAAACTCCATATTTGGCAAAATTAACATTGACATGATATAAAATGTATGCATCATCATGAGGTATTATAATTCTCCTTAAAACTAATATCACAAACTGCAACGCAAATTCAACATAAACGAGTTTCAGTTTTTTTTCATGCTCATCTCTGTCTAAACATTCATCCTTTTATATGAGTGTAGGATGTTGAGTCAGCCGTTGTTGTGCCACTTTTGTTGTCTTGCACAAAATTAATCTGTCTGTGTATGGGTTTTTTTTTCCGCTTGCGAGTAAGTTCGTCTATATATGTGCTGGTATCCAGTTCACGTGTGGTTAACAACAAATAGTGAATGTTGAATTCATGAGTTGCTTGCAAGCTGCATAAAAAAAAAAAATCATGTGTTTGTCTGTGCATTTGGTTTTTCTTCTGCCCGTTAGTATTTAATGCAGGGGTGTCTTAGCCTTTTCTTCAGAATACTGCTGTTCGCGGTCTGTACTTTTTCTCCAATGATTCAATCTGAATAATGAAGTCTTGAAAAAGTCGGCTCTTCCAGCTTTCATGTTTATTTGCACTTTCATGAATAGGGTATAGAGGTGGCTCCTAGTTTTCCGTGATTCAATCCTTTTCTGTTGCTATAAATATTATGAACCATTCCTGCAAGATTACTACTAGTTGACTGATTGATCATGACCTTTTTCATCTTTGGATGAGTCCTATGTGGTTACACAAAAATCAGTCCACTCTTCTAACACCTTGAGCTAATAATTAGTTGTCCTGTTTATCTTGGGCTTCAAACATGAAGCTTGTCATAGTTAGGTTAGAACTGCATATTTATAAAGTACATCTCATGCATATATATAAAGCTCTGCTGTATGTTTGGCTGCCTCAAGGAGCTGTTGACGCTTACTACACCTTGTCTTTCTCAGATGAAACATTTGCGAAATATTTTCCAAATAGCATCTTGCATGTGCCAATTACAGTTATTGTAGTGATGATTCTTACATCAGTAATAATAATGTACGATGATTATAAGGCAAATGTGTTGTTTAAGCTAATTAACATTACCTAATACACGTGAATACTACAGCTCCAAAAATTTGTATCTGTATTACTAAATTATAAACATATAGATCTTAGGTAACTGCAGGACCCTTGGGCATCCACATATTGATTTTTTTTTTGTTAACAGATTAGTACAGCCTATTTACTTGAGATGAGGGTACTTGTTATTTATTGGCTATTTTGGTTTCTTTACTTAGTTATCACTCTGAGACCACTGCAGGTTCCTGAGACATCTTTGTATTTGACAGTTTTCTTAGACTTATAACAGGCATATTTGCTGTTTGGAGATGAGGAGTATTTGTTCATGTTCCGGGAAGCTTACAAGGCTGCCATGCACTATCTCCATACTGATCCTTGGTAACAGTTCCTATCTTTCTTTTGTACCTTTTATTCCCATATCTACTTTGTCTTGAAAATATAAAAATTTTGGTCTTTTTCTATGTGCACTAATATGTCAGTATAATAATTCCTTATAGGTATGTTGAGGTTAATATGTACTCAGCAGTTACAGTTTGGCCATTATTTAATAGCTTGCAGGCCTTCTGGCCAGGGCTTCAGGTTCCCTTCATATCGATTTTACCAAACTTGCGGTGTCGCTCCTTTGCAAGATTTTGATAACGTTATTATGTGCAAGGTTCTAGCTGGTGACATTGATCCTGCTGTTCGGACACATGCTGCCTTCTTTAGCGTTTGGAAGAAATATGGATTTACTCCAGAGGGATTCAATCTTGCTACTTTCAATGTTCAAGTACAGCTTTTCTTACTAATACATGAGTGTACTTCTCTTTTTTTTACATGTATTCGCTTTCATCATTTGCTTCCATAATTAGTAAGGTGGCAGATGTTTATACTTTATCGTTGGTTGGGGAACTTGGTTACCCGATAGGCTGTAATTACAGAAAGCACAGTTGGTATATAAGTTCCCCAGTCAACTTTCTCCATCTGACTGTTGATCAGATGATGATTGTTGAGACTCAATGAAGATCATGATAGTTGGACTTACACTACTTTACACGTGAACGATTTCACAGTACCAATGTTTCTCTTTACATATGAATCTTTCACTTTCAGCATGGTCAAAGGAGTTACCCACTACGTCCAGAGTTGATTGAGAGCACGTATTGGTTATTCAAGGCTACCAGAGATCCAAGGTTTGCCTTATTTTGAACCATAAAATTCATATTTCATATTCCTCTTAATGAAAAATATCCTATTCTTGTTACTCTCTTGTTACTCCAGAGTTTAGCCTGTCAAGATCAATTCTTTATATGAAATTGGTTTTTTTGTTTGCTTTATTGAGTTACTTGAGCTCATGTGAATTTAATATGTTACAGAGAGCTAAAGAGGCTATGCGCCTTTGGTTTTTCACATAAGGACTAGAAAATACAAAAGAACAGTGGTGGGCACTTGGGGGCTTTGGGTTAATCAGCTAATATTTTGAGGACCTGAATTTCCATTGTAAAGGAAGTTTAGTTATCATCCTCTCTTCTTCTTTCTGCTTCTCTACAGGGAGACCGTTTGATTGAGATATACCTTTAATATAGTCATTTTATTATTTCTACTAAATTAGAAGGGCAGGATTCAGGAAAACATTTGTTGCCGTTAGCATTATGATCATCGAAGCTTTGTGCCATCAAATGCCGTCGGATATAGACAGCTCACAGCTGAGAAAGTTCAGCATAACTAGCCAGCTTATTATCAATGATTGTCAACCTGACATCAGTTCTCTGGGGGGCAAGAGGGAAACTTGTTACTGGGGCATTGCCATAAAAATGAATAGCAGAATGGGAGAGTATGCAATTTAAGTACTTTCAATATCTAAGCATGTGGATTAAGCAAATTTAAATAAATAAAAGAATTTTGCTAGGGTGAATTGCAGCCACTTTCGAAGTGCAATTTGAGCTGTATAGAACCAAATGGGAGCAAATTTCAATCTTTTTTTTACGGAAATGTGAACTGTGGGTAGGGTAGCTCAGAAAACTAAGAGCTAACTAACAGTGGAGCATTATTTGTATCTACCTGGCTGCTGAGCTTAATCAATGTTCCTAGCAACTTATATTAGCATATAGGGAAATCAGAGCTTGTTTGTGAGCTTATATAAATTCCATAATTTCTGAATGGAAACAAATTAAATAACAAATTAAATGAATACCAACATTGAGATTTGCGGAGAGATCACTTTAGAAAGGATATGATGGAGGTTCACTGAAAGCACATAAAGTTATATATGCATGGATTCTGCTGAGGCTTCAGAAAGTCATTTCACAGTAGGCATATGCTTAAATTTCCTATTTAGACATTTTGACACATAAACCACCAACGAGTAGCTGATTAGAGCGAACTGTTTTCAAGTGTTATGGTTTTTGTTTTCCTAGTTTCACTACTCATTATGAATTATTCACAAATTATGTTTCATTGAGATTGTTTATATTTTGGTCATTCATATGCCATTATGCCTGCAGATTCTCCTCATATATTCCCCAAATTAATTGTGTTCTAACTTCCTCCGCGATCGATGAAACTGGCCTTCATCTATGACCAAGTTAACTACATGAAAGACCATGACAAATCCTAATAAACAAATGCAAGTACTTTCCTTATGGTTTTTATGGTTTATACATGCCAAATCACCATAATTACTCTTAATTTTTGTTTATCTATATAGTCTAAGTGGAGGATAGCTTAGTGTACATTTCAAGCTTATTTAGTATGAATTCTGACTGATTTTTTTGTTTTCCATTATGCATAATTTTGTTTTGTAGCTTTTCAAAAAAATTTGGAAGATTTTACTATTCATCTGCTGTGTCTTTACATTATGCAACTTATTATGCTAATGCAGGTATCTTGATGCTGGGAGAGACATGCTGGCAAGCCTTCAGTATGGTGCAAGATGCCCATGTGGTTATTGCCATATTGCAGATGTTGAGTCTCACAAACAGGATGACCACATGGAGAGCTTCTTCCTTGCTGAAACAGTAAGAATAAATTTATATATTGCTGTAAAAAAATGTAGTCTGCCAAAGTTAGCCTAAAGTGGAGACCTGTCACATGGTTGAAACACTTGTTCTAAACTTTTATATTTCAATCACTTCAGTGAAATGATATATAGTGAAAAGAAACAAGCATTCTAGGAAAACCATCCTATACACTATGTACACTTCGCTGCTCTCCTTTTACAAGTATTTTTAGCACCACTTTGTTAACGTTTCTGCCCTCTTTAACGCTAGGGGTGGTAGTATTTATATTTATATCTACATATGTATGTATTCAGGGATGAACATGTCATGTAAAAACAATATACTATCATCTATTGAACCCGTCTTCGGTTTTTTTTTTTTTGACGGATTTTTCACGAGTTTCTTTGGAACTTGGTGTTAACTGTGATTTATTTACAATCAGAAGATCACCAAGAGTTCAAACCATGCACCAAATCCTGTTGTACGATCCAAAGTCACTTGCCAGTAGAATAGGGAGTTCTACATAATTTGTATTTTAAGCCTCTAAAAGAGATGCATTATTCCAGGTCAAATACCTCTGGCTTCTTTTTGATTTGGCTGTAGGTCCAGACAACCTTGTTGAGAATGGTCCCTATAAGTAAGCTTTGCTTCTGAATCACTCATGCGTCATTTGTTAATTTTATAAGGACAGATAAATAATGTTAAAGCTTTCTTTTGTGCAGGTATATATTTAGCACAGAAGGTCACGTTTTACCTGCTACTCCGGAAATATCTCTAGTAAGTGACCACTGCTCATATTTAGGAGCATTTTGCAAAAGTGATAGATGGAAAAAAGATGGACACACAAAGATCTTATTTGACCATCATGAAACTAATGACTCCCAACTCCATGCGGATCGAGGTGCATCTATTTCTTCCCAGAAAGCACGGGATACTTTTACCGCCTCAAGTTTTATTAAGGTAAGGACATTATCATGAGCATTATTATCAAACTGTCTTAATAAATTAATTACATTCTAGCTGGACCATAAAACTCAGAAATCTGCATGATTCTTATTTCCTAATGTTATTAATTATGTTTTGTATTTGTGGAAGCAGTCACTTTCTTGTATCAGACTAAGTTGACATTCTCTTTTCCAACTCAGGAACTGAAATTCACACCTGATTATTTACATTCCAAATTCAATCATTTAAAATGAAATCAGACCTCTAAATACAGTGGAATTCCAGTTCCGTAAAGGGCAAGTGTTCAAAATGTTGATATTTTTAGCACTCATGTACCTGGATATTCTGCTTTTTCAATGAGTTTGAAACCCTAAAGTATGGTCACTGCTTTTGTTTATCATAACTGTGTTAGGACCATTTCCATATAGTGAGTATAATTAATAAAAACAAAGGTATATTAGTCCCATGAATCCACGATTACGGTTTCTATAGTCCAATGTTGGTCATATGCAGTGTAAATAGTTGGTCATTAACCAACAGTATGTGAGACTACATTGTGTTCGTTAATATCACTTGCTCAAGAATTTTTCTTACAAATATATCAGTATTCATAGAACAAGTAACATATTCAAATTTCTATTAATTACTTAACTAGATTAACCTTATCAACTTACAATAATATTAGCCATTGCCTGGTAAAATGTCAAAATCATACATCACGCAAGACTGACAGAACTTGATTAATGTTAATATAACCCAGCAATCTCTTGTTATCTGCATGATTAACCTTTGAAGTTAGCTTCTATTTTCTTTTCCACTTTGGTGCAAAGTTGTTTTATTGACACAAGATTGATGATCACATAATTTATGAAACCCCTTTTAGGTATCACTGTAACTTGTTCCCTAAATTTCGAAGTGTTGCTATTGTTAATTCCTTGTAATCTGGTGGTGTAGCCACTTATACCTCCTCAATTATTTTACTAGTGTCAAAGTCCCTCCAACTACACAAAAACTCCGAAGTTGTGATAAGGGTTGAGCCGTTGAGGGTTATATATTTATATTCTAACTTGTGTTGAAGCAGTTTTGAATACCCTTTATGGGCCGAGACCTGACCGATGTCAAACTACTTGCCACCATGCCAAAACTCCAAAGTTGTCGTGGGAGCTGAATATTATAATTTTATATTGGATAAATCACACTAAACTCCCAGGAACTCTCTACATTTTGCAGTAAACCCCAAATAACTACCAACATCACAATAAAACCCCATTAACTTTTGTAGAAAATCCCCAATATATTTTCGGTAAATTACAATAAATGCCAGTAACCTTCAAAATGGCTTTTTATGCTGTTGTTTGGTTCTAATTTGTTGGGGTTATCTGCAAAATGTGGAAACTTATTTGGGGTTTTCCACAATTCCAAAATTTATTTGGAGTTTAGAGCTATTTTAAAAGTTATTAGGGGTTTACTGTAAATGCTAAAAGTTCTTGAGAGTTTAGTGTAATTTACTCTTCCAACATGTCCCCTGCAGGCTGAGAGCTCTTTTTGTGGACTGAAACCTGGACTCACACAACTTTAACAATTTTGTTAAAAATTTGTGGCCAGCAAGATTCGGACCTAGGTTGTTGTCATATCATACCATCTTAAAGTCTCTGCCATTACATTCGGATTTGTGATGAGGGTTGAAGGTTATATTTTTATATTCTAACAATTGGCACTTACACCTCTAAAACTTAGGTTATTTTTTGGCCTTCAATTCAGAGAGCAAATTAGTCTCTTTTTCCGTTAGAACGAAGTCAAAAAGTAACTGATTGTCACATTGATGTGCACATGACATCTCTACCTAACGGGGAAATAATATCGTCTGAAGTTCAGTGGAGTAAAATACTATACAATAGTTTAGACGATATCATGAGCCATATCTGCATAGTACAGGGGATATGCCTGTAACCAATCATTTAACTTTGCTATGAACTTAATACTGATCCATTTTGGCTGAATTATGTTTGCGGTGTTATCACATTAGGCTTAGGCTTAATTGCACTTAAATATCTCATAGTTTCCCCTACTGCACTTATATACCCTTAACGTGTTTTGGCAGCATGTATGTACCCTAAAGTTTTAAAACTTGCACTTATTTACCATTGCTTGTTTTTAGCAGCACTTATATACCCTAAAGTTTTTAAAACTTGCACTTATTTACCCTCACTTGTTTTGACAACATTTATATACTTTAAAGTTTTTAAAACTTGCACTTAAATGCCCTAAAGTCATGCAAACTTGAGGGATTTTAAGTGCAAATTTAAAAAAAAAAAATTGATATATAAGTGGCTGTTTTGAAATTTTCAAGGTGTTTAAGTTTATGTTTTAAGAACTTCAGGGTATGTTAGTGCTGCCGAAAACAAATATAAGTGTAAGTTTTAGAAACTTCACGATAAATAAGTTTTGCCAAACATGAGTGAGGATATATAAGCGCAACGTTGGGGTAACTAGAGTGTATTTGAGTGCAGTTAAGCCTGAGGTTTGTGATTAACGGTTATAAATTTCTCGGAAGCACAGAAATATGTGTGACAGCATCAAGTAGCATTGGTCTACGAAGTGAAATATGTTCTTTTTCCATTGAAGTTGTTACTGATCACGATCAATGTTCCTTTCTCCAGGGGTTTTGCCCAGGTTTAACTCATGGACAGAAATTTGGTATATCATACGTCGAAGAGAAGCATGAAACTAATGAACACGAATCTACAAGTCCTCAATCTCAAAAACATTCTATCATTTTGATATCCAATCCGACAACTATCCATTCCATCAATGCCGATGAAAGCGATGGTAGCAACAACATCGAAGAAACTAATGAAGAATCGAGAGCCCTCGTGCCTAACACGGATGAGAAAGATGCCGAGGCTTTAAGTCAAGAAGGGATACAACAGGATAAAGATTCAAGTTGAGCAGAAAAACTATTTATGGGCCTTCATCTCAAAGAAGCATTTCATCTTGGAGCTCATGTAGCCATGGTGGAATCATCCAAAGAAATGTTAAATTATCATGAAAAGGGAAAGATGTCAGTTGTTCACCTATACTAACCCTTTTATTCTGGCTGTGGGGGGGTGTAGGACTACACAAGGTATACGCGTCATTGTAATAGGAACGATGAAGTTACACATGGGTGTTAATAGTTCACATTCATCAGTTTGTATAACTTGTAGGTTATTGTTAATGACCTTGGAGCATCATTTTTTATGCTCCCTTTGTTTAGATTATTGTGGAACAATAAAAGGCAGCGTGCATGATTCTTGGAAGATTAGATGATGGCCTTCGAAGTAGAATGCTGAGGTTTCCCTTTTATTCTTGGAAGATGGATGATTGTTGGAAGGTACATCTTTTTCTTGTCGCCCCCTCAACCTCATCGTCGATCCCTGGCAAGCCCAGACGCAGCTCGGTAGCCTTGAGATTGTCGGTGGCGCAATTGTAGCTCTTCGCACCTTCCATTACGGATAGAGGATCAAAATAGCGTACGTGTTTCTTATGTTGTGGACTTTCTATGGTCGCATATATGTGCTACTAACAAAGTCTTTTGGTTCTTTTGGTGTGTTGGGTGGTAGAGGCGTAATAGTAACTAAACTGATGTATTAATGGTTATACGCTCTTGAGGGCAATGTGGGTCCACTAGGAGCAAGGTTAGCCGACCATTTCTTCAGGGGGGGGAGGGGGATCGATCTTAGCCGTCGGATCTGGTGGTCTTGGGAGGGGGACAAGGAGGAGCAGCCCATGTTAGGCTGCTCCTTGCCCACTGGGTCCCATACCCCAACGGGAATATCAAGGAAAAAAAATGGTATAGACATTAATCGTATAGTTAATTCTAGCAAAAAAAAAAAAAAATGTTATAGACATTAATCGCCACATGGGTGATTGTAGATGCTAATAGTCGAAAGAGGCTAGCCCGCATGCAATCCTAATAAAATCATCTTAATTTTGAGAGCTTATCGTTGGATGACGCACTAAGACTGTAGTCCAAGCTGACATGAACGCATCAGATTGAATTCAATTTGAAGATTCAAGATAACAACAAAATGACTAGATATTACCTTGGTAATAATAACCTTTTTTTTTCAAGTCCTTAAATCTGGTGTTGTTTGATATCAACTAGTAAAAATCTTAAACTTCCAAGCTACCCAACCACTTTTGTCTGGTTTATTAGGTCAATTATAACTGTTTGTTTCACTGCGACTATTAAACACAGTTGCAACTACGGTTCCAAAAGGGTGTATAGCTCAAGCTTACACGGTTTCCGACGTACAATATCAACAACCCCTTGATGGTCTCAAAAACTTGATATTCCGAGACAAACGTATGCAATTGTTTTCACATGACAAAGTGCAAACTTCAAATATGGACTAAGAAGTCATGGCTTTTACTCCCTTCTTTCATTTCTTTCTTAGAGTCATGCTGGAACTCATTCTCTTCTAAAGAAGATACGTCAGCATCCCTCCCTCTCAAGATTAAACTTATCCGTAGAAGGATAAAATGGTGAAAGAGAACTTTTTTTTAAAATCCATTCCCGTCCAGAAAACCTCAGCCTTATCTGATATTCATGCTCTGAATCTTATTGAGGAAAGTAGAGTGTTGACTGAATCAGAATTCAATCTCAGGCTTCGCCAAAAAGAGTACATTTTCTTGTTGGCTAGGGCTGAGGAAACCAAATGGAAACAAATGTCTAGAATTCAATGGCTCAAAGAAGGAGATAACAACACAACTTTTTTCCACAAAGCATCATCTTTCCATGGAAGGAAAAAATTCATTCCCCACCTCATCTCAGACAATGCTATCATTTCCTCAGATGCTGACATCAAACAGGCCTTCTATGTATATTTTTCTTCTCTCTTCTCATCAGTTAGTGACTCTAAACTTAATGTTAACTGGAGTCTGCTATATCCCGACCCTCCTCCTGACCTCTCCTCCCTTGTTGCTGAATTCTCGTCTGAAGAAATCAAGAAGGCGGTCTTCGATCTCCATCGAGATAAATCCCTTGGTTCAGATGGCTTACCTATGTTTTTTCCATAGATTTTGGCCTCTTATCCACCAGGATGTCATCTCTTTCATCCAACCTCTCCACAAAAATGCTCACCTCCTCCAAAATATCAACTACTCTTTCATATGCCTTATTCCTAAGAATGATAGTGCTGAGACCCCCAAGGATTTTGAAGGGGAAAGATCGCTGATGGTTTTGGGGACTTCGGAATGGAGACTTGTTTATAATCAGGGGAGAGGAACTCCTCTCTATATATAGGCGTTCCATCCCCCCTTCGTCCCCAAATAACCGCTCAGATTTCTCTAGATATCCCACGTTCTTCTCTCCATAAGACTCGTTCGATCCCCAACGGAAGAAATCCCAGAACCAACAACCGGGTCGAGTAACAATTTGGCCCTTGAGGCCAAACCCACTTACATCTCCCACTTGGCCGAAATAGCCAAATACTTTCCAAGCACACACTCCCACTATCCGTGAGATGTGACTCAAGATGTAATTTCATACTCCCACTATCCGTGAGATATATGCATATTTTCACTCTACGTGAATAAGCCGAGTACAACCATTATCCATGATCGTCTCCTTTCATTTTTCATGAAAGTTTCCTTGACTTAGACATTTCTAAGTCTCATCAAACCAACATCTTTGATGAATATACCTACTGGGATACCATTCGTCAAGGGATCATCAATCATGTCACTAGTAGGAATATAAGTAACACTGACTTCTTCTTCTTCCACAATATCATGAATATAATGATATTGTATCTCAATATGTTTTCCTTTAGAACTGTTTGCACCACTGTTGATCAAGCTGATGGCTACTTGATTATCACAGTATATCTCAATTGGTCCATCCACCAAATTGAGATCCAAGTCCTTTAGGAACCGTCTTATCCAGACTGCATGAGTAGTGGCGATATTACAGGCTATGTACTCAGCTTCTTATGTGTATCTTGCCACACATCACTGTTTCTTACTACTCCAAGAAACAGCTGCACCACCAAAGATGAACAAATGTCCACAAGTGTACTTTCCGTCATCTTTGTCTCCTCCAAAATCAACATCGGAGTAACCAAGAACCTCAAGCGAGTCTGCTTGATAAACTAACTTATGGTGCACAGTACCTTTCAGGTACTTCAAAATCCTCTTAACAACCTCCCAATGTTCTAGACCAAGATTACTTTGATATCTACTAACCAAACTCACCAGATATGCTAGGTCTGGTCTAGTACACAACATTGCATACATCAAGCTTCCAACAGCTTGTGCATACGGGACATCAAGCGGTTTCTGCCCTTCTTCAGGACATTGTTCTTTACACAACCATTTTCCCATAACCAAAGGTGTTGGCGCAGGGTTACAATTCTGCATTTCAAACCTTCTAAGTATTGTATGCAAATACCTTTCTTGGTTTAAACTTAACATTCTAGACTTTCTATCCCTAAGGATCTGTATACCAAGAACATATGATGCATCTCCCATGTCCTTCATCTCAAATTCACTACTAAGTGCTGACTTGATTCTATTCAGCACTTCTATGTCATTTCTAGCCAGCAAAATATCATCCACATACAAGGATAATATTATAAAACTGCTGCCACTCTTTAAGACATATACACAGTTATCCAATTTATCTGCAACAAAACCAAATTGGATAACAGTATTGTGAAATTTAAGATACCACTGTCTAGATGATTGTTTTAAACCATATAAAGATTTCTTCAATTTATATACTTTGTTTTCTTGTCCTTCAACCTGAAATCCCTCAGGTTAATTCATATATATTATTTCCTTCAACTCTCCATTGAGGGATGCAGTCTTGACATCCATTTGGAAAAGTTCCAAGTCAAGATGTGCAACAATTGTTAAGATAATTCTTATAGAAGCAAACTTAGCCACTGGAGAGTAAGTCTCCTGATAATCTATACCTGCCTTCTGAGTAAAGCCTTTAGCAACTAAACAGGCTTTAAATGGATCAATAAACCCATCAACCCGATATTTCTTCTTTAACACTCATTTACATCCTATGGACTTCCTATCTTCTGGTAAGTCCCATCAACCCGATATTTCTTCTTTAACACTCATTTACATCCTATGGACTTCCTATCTTCTGGTAAGTCACATAGCTCCCATACATTGTTTCTCTCTATTGAATCAAGCTCCCTTTTCATGGCTTCTAGCCATTGTTCCGATTCATGTGTGCTAATAGCATCCACATAATTCAAGGGATTAGCTTGCTCATCTATGTTAATGTCTACCGAGAAACAAGATGGTTCGCATGAATATAAATAATAATCATCCATCCATGCAGGTGTTGTTCTGGGTCTTTTATTGCCACTGAGGTTGACAGGTTGGACAGGTTCAGCTGGTTGATTTACCATAGGCATATGCTCATTTAAGGGCTCATCTTCCATTATTGGATGATTTACTTCATCCACTATGTCCAGGTCATCGTTGGGAACATCATCTAAGTCCAGCAGAGGTTGTACTGCCTCTTGAACATGTTTCCTTTCCTCTAGTCTTTCTAGAAAAGTAGCATCTCTACTTTCAATGACCCCTTTCTCTTCATAGAAGAACCTATATCCTTTAGACTTTTCAGAATAGCCTATAAATCTACACTTTAAGGTTTTGAGATCCAGATTATCTCTAACCTGATATGGAATGAGAATATGTGCAACGCAACCCCATTTTCTTAAGTGACTTAATTCAGGTTTGTGTCCATTCCAAATCTCATACAGTGTTAACTCGATTGATTTTGTGGGAATCCTATTCAAAATATAATTGCAGTCAATACTGCTTCTCCCCAAAAATCCTTAGAGAGACTAGAATGTGACATCATACATCTCACTGCATTCATCAATGTTCTATTTTTTTTCTTTCAGCTACACCATTCTGTTGTGGCGTGTAAGGCATAGTGTTATGTCTCTTAATACCATAATGAATGCAATAGTTTTCAAATTCCTTTGAGTTGAATTCTCCACCTCTATCAGTTCTTAACACCTTAATATATCTTCCAAGTTTCCTTTCTACTTATGTCTTGTATCTTTTTAAACATTCAAATGCTTCTGATTTTCTTTTTAAAAGATACACAAAAGTATACTTGGAATAATCATCTATGAAAGTTATAAAATATTCTTTATCACCACGTGTCTTTATGCTTAATGGACCGCAAATGTCAGAATGAACTAACTCTAAAAGTTCACTTGCCCTCTGACCTTCAGAAAATGACTTTCTAGTCATTTTCCCTGTTAAGCAGTGTTCACAGGGT